GGTCTCAGACCAGACACTTGACACTTACTAGCTGTGTGACCCCGGGCAAGTCACTTAACCCCGTTGCCTTGCTGCTGCCCTCCCCCCCTCCAAAAATAAAAAGTACTTGCATTCTCTTAGTCTAAAGATAGGGAGAGCAACCTGCAGCAGAAGATGGCTAGGCAGGGAGAAGAGTTGGTAATGCTTAGGTGAGTGAGGAATATTTATTGTGTGCCAGGGATGCAAATACAAAGAATGAAACAGCCCTTACCCTCAAGGAAATTATATTCTATAGGGAGAGACATTGCGTACAACTTATATATATATAAATGTATAGAAAATAAGTTCAGGGTAATTTGGTAAGCACTAGCAGCTGGGGGGGGGGGGGGGGAATCAGGAAAGGTCTCATCGCCTGTCATCTTGACCTAAGTCTTGCCCCTGGACCCCGATGACCCTGGAAGAGGGAATGTGGCTGATAACTTTGCACAGCCCTGCCTCACTTAAATCCAACTCACTTGCAAGTCAAGACATCACCCCTCCTGATGTCACTGGTCCTCTGGGAGAATGAAGGACACAGTGGCAGCCCTTCATCCCCTTGGGCCTCTCCCTCTGATTGAATGACTTTTTCTAGAGCCTCCATTTAAGGAGGGCAGCCAGGCCAGCCATATCTCATTCCTCTCAAGACCACACTCTGGACTTTATTGTGGCTTACCCTGTACCCCCACCCCACTTCAACTTCCTTTTTTGTATTGTCTTCCCTCATTAGAATGTAAGCTCCTTGAGGGTAGGAACTATCTTTCTGCTTGTATTTGTATTCTTAGCACTTAGCATGGTGCCTGGTACACAGTAAGTGCTTCATAAATGCTTGTTGCCTGGTTCACTGTATGTGCTTAATAAGTACTTGTTAGCTGACTAATAGGAACAGCAAGAAAACCACTTTGGCTGGACCAGAAAGTATACAAAGCAAAGTGATCTAGAATGCTGGGAAGGTGTGTTGAAGCCAAGTTGCAAAGGACTTGGGAGCTACTGAAGTTTAATTTGCACAGTCATACCCTAGTTTTGGAAGATTCCTTTAGTGGTTATGAAAAAAATGGATTGGAGGGGGGAGAAACTTGAATCAGGGAGACAAGATAGGATGCTATTTTAGTAATCCAAGTGAGAGGTAATAAGGGCCAAAATGGGAGCAGTAAAAAAAGTGATTGAAAAGATATTGTGGGGCTGGAAGCATCCCAGACTTAGCCCCTGATTGGATGCTTGGAGTGAGGGTGAGCAAAGAGCTGGGGTTGGCTCGGAAGTTGTGAACCTGGGTGACTGAAAAGATAGTAGTGTTCTCCTGGGCAGAAATAGGGAAGTTCAGAAGAGGGGAAGGTATATGTGGGGGTGGGTGGGTGTGGGGAAGACAGTGAGTCCAGTTTGGGACGTGATGAGCTTGAGATGCAGGTGGGGACATATTGTTGAAAATGGTGACCAGGCAGTTGGTAATGTAGAGCTGGCCTTCAGGAAAGAGACTAGGGGTATGTGTGTGTGTGTACATTATATACTTATATGTGTATATGTATATCAAGATAGAAGAGAGAATGAAGAGTGAGGACACTTTTGCCAAATTTATTCCAAAGTTTATGATTTTAATTGACCAAAAAATGTTGAAAATTATTTGCAAGCCAGATTTGTCAACCCTCTCTTAAATTATGTCTTTATCATAAAGTCCAGTTTTGATCTTACCAGAAAATAATCTTAGAAAATAAAAACAAAATAAAAAAAAAGATTTAAGTGACAGAAGGTTTATGTGTGTCTTACCCAGATTTATCCAGATAATTGTTTCCGTTCTCCCCTCTGTGGGACTTGTGTGGGTAGCTACCGTAGAGCCTGAAAGAGGCGTTTCCTTGGAGTGGACCTGGTGCCCTCTTTCATGCTCGACTTCTCATTGCCCTAGAAGTGGGCTGCCAATGAAGTGAGTGGTGAAAAGGGGAACCTTACATTTAGGCATTGTGCTGGCAGTCTGTGCTTCTGCTCCAAATTTGAATTCAGTAATAATAATGATTTGAGGTCTGGGGTTTTTCCCAGGGTGGAGGAGAGGGGGGTTTAATGACCATAGCTTGGTCTTATGTCACAGTCTTCCCTGGAAATACCCTGCTCTAAGACACACAAACAACAGAAGTCTGCACCAAAATCATAACGTGATTTCCCATCTCCTGATTTTCTTGGAAAAGGCATTTCTAGGAATGTAGTACCTGGTCAGGCTAAAATAGTCTAATGCCTTGTGAGTCATAGGAACTTGTTGGACATTTCCCTCCCTAACATTTTCTGTTTGTTGCCTGTTTATTAGGTCTGGAGAAACCATATAGCAAGTAGTCTTGGCAAAGGTTCCTGACTGTGGGGTCCCAAATGCTGCCTTATATTGCAGCCAAGTAGTGGAAAAGATTCAGAGCTCCACCATGTAGCCTTGGTCACAATACTTTCTCATCCATCATGGTAGACCCACCTGTAGGCTTAAGTGGGATGGTGGAATGAGCATAGGGTTTGGGCCTGAGTTTGAGGGCTGACTGATAGTACTTTGGGCAAATCACTTTGCCTTTCTGGGCCTCAGTTTCCTCATCTGTAAAGCAAAGAGGTTGGCAAGATGATTCCTCAAGGGCCTGCCAGTTTTAATGTGCCTGGGATCCTATGATTTGTCTTTCTAAAAGGCTTTCTCATTTCTGGCCTTGGCCAAGTTTAGTTTGTTACTGACGCAGGAAGATGTTGCCTTGTTGATTGTGACCCCCCTCCCTGCCCCCCCAACCTCCCCTTGGTCACAACATATGAGAGAGGCCTTGACTTTAATACACACAGTACCCAAAAATAAGCTGCTAGAAGCTGGGTTTCATGGTGTGGGTGGTTGGGAAGTGCAGGTGTAAGAACCAGATGTAAGAAATTGTCCCCAGTCTAAGGTTTCGGTAAAAGGATTAGGCCATCGTCATCATTGTACTTAGATGCTTGCTCCCTGCCATAGATTTTGGTGGTGCTCACTGAGATTTTGTAGGGACTCGTTTAGGAACATGGTAATGGGTGTGTTTGAGATGACTGTATAATTTTAAATGTGGCCTTGTCATCTGTGTGGCCTTAGGCCCTTTTATTTCTGCTTAGATGATTGTCATTTGTTGATTGTTTTTGTGTGTTTTTTTTTTTTTTGGTGTGTTCTTACATACCCCTTATCATTGACCCAGATCTCCCCTCTACTAGAAAAGTATACCACAAAGAAGGGGAAAGACACTCAGACCTGGGGATTTGGGGTAGGAGGGCACGAGGGAGATGATACGAGGTGGACAGGGTGAGTGGTAGGGGCTTTTCTGAACAGGAGCCTTAAAGAGCATCTGGTCCAATCTCTTGAATGCTGCAGATGAGAAAACTGAGGCTCCAGGAGGAAAAATGACTTCTCCCAAGAAGTAAATTAAATAGAACTGGGATTCAAACCCATGCCCCTTTATGCCAATTCCACTGTTCCTCCCCAGTAACCACTGTACTGCCCCAGAGTACATGGGAGGTGCCCAGGGGTAGGGAAGGCAGGGGGAGGGGAGCTCCTCAGCTCTGTGTTCCTTCCATGTTTTCTAGCTCATTCCGGAGCTAGGGTACAAGGAGGCAGGCATTCCTCTTTCCTGTCTGAGAGAATGCTGTCTTTTAAAGTAGTGGTTCACATTGAGAAGGAAAGAGGTTCAGCCATTTTCCTATACTCTGATTAATGTTTATAACTTTGCAAATAGCTAAGCATAATTTTCCAGGCCTCTGTTAATGAGAGCATTTGAGTGAGAGGCAAAGGTTGGTCTTTCTAGCTCTACTTAGAACTCTCTGCTGAGTGGACTATTCCTTGAACAGGCCATTCTGTCTCTCATCTCCCTGCCTTTTCATTGGCTGGTCTCCATACCTGGAGAGTGCTTCTTCCTCACCTCCACCCCTTAACTTCCTCTAAGACTCCACCCAAAGGCCATCTTCAGCGGGAGGTCTTTCCTGATCGGCCCAGCTGTTCACTTCTTCCCTCAGAGATTACTTAGATCTCTTCTATAAGTAGTTATTTGCATATTATTTCCCTCATTAGAACTTAAGCTCTTTGAGGGCAGGTATTGTTTATTTCCCTAGGGCTAGTTGCCCAACTCAATGCCTGGCACATAGTAGGTGCTTAATAAGTGCTTGTGGAATGTCAGCCTCAGATTTTATTAGCTGTGTGACCGTGGGCAATTCATTTAACCCTCTTTGCCTCAGTTTCCTCATCTGTAAAATGAGCTGGAGAAGGAAATGGCAAATCACTCCAGTATCTCTGCCAAGAAAATCCAATCACAAAGAGTCAAACACAACTGAAAAACAACTAAAGACTGAACAACAACAATCACCTCTGACTCCAGGTCTCATTCTCTCTCTTTTTTTGGTAAGGCAGTAGGGGTTGAGTGACTTCATCTAGTCTGAAGCCAGATTTGAGCTCAGGTCCTCCTGACTCCAGGTCTGGTGCTCTATGCACTGCACCACCTAGCTGCCCCCGGGTCACATACTCTTTCTGTTACAGCTTGCTAGCTCTCAACAAACTGATTCTTAGGAATTTGGGAGCTGAGGAATGGGGAGCTAAGCCCTATGCCTATTCCCAGATAGATAATTGTAGCAGCACAGAGGAATGGCCACGCTTAGTCTGTGTTATCATATGTCACCCTTAGGCTTGGCAGTGAGGGTGCGTTGAGCTCATCCACAGGATTCTTTGTCATGGATTCTGGCTCGGGATCCTGGGGTGAACAGGAAGGACACCATGGATCCATTGTTCAGTGGAAAACAGGAAAATAGCATTTAGGGCCTTCTAAAATCCCTGGCTTTCTTGTGAGTTCCACATGTCCATTGCTATCATTTACAGGAATGGATTCAGACCTGGGCAGCTTGGTTCACATTTCTCAGAATTTGAGATTTTACAAAAAGCTTCAATTAGATATTTCTTTCACTCTGAGGCTGCTTAATTAAACATTGAGATTTACTTCTTCCCTGTCTTGTTTTTTTTCTCCCCTGCCCAGGACAAGACATTTTAAAGAGAGTATCAGGTTCATTCATGAATGCCGGCTTAGAGGTGAGGGCTGTCTTGTACACTGGTACGTATATCTACTACCTAAGAATATTCTTGTTAACAAGCTTGTTACTTTTGCCAGTTTTCTGGCCACCTGTTTTTTCCGTATAATTATTAAATTGGTTCCTTAGTCAGAGTTTCTACCTGCACATGAATCCGGAATATTGAGAGAGAGTAGAAAAAGCCCTGGACCTGGGGGTCAGAAGAACTATATTCTAGTTCTTGCTTTACCTATTTAATATCTGTGACTCTGGGCAAAATCATTTAAATGATTCTAGGCCTCAGTTTCCTCCTTTTGAAAATTATTAGATTGGATTAAATGATCTCCAGCATTCCTTCAAACCCAAATAATCAGCTGTTTTCATTTTTGCCATTATCTCCTCCCCAGTACCTGTCAGGGTGCT